CAGAGACGTCAAGACATCTGAAGAACAATAGAAGCCTGGGCACGCGTGGCGTCGCCGCGCCTGTCATCCCACCGCGCTGCGGCAGGCCAGGGCGGGAGCATCACTCGAGGGTCCAGGACTTGGAGACCAGCCTGAGCAAGATCGAAGACCCGCCGTCTCTACTGAAAAATAGGAACAGAAATTAGCTGGACCAACGCGGCTGAAACATATGTAGACAACAACAGTGAGCCGGCAGCCGTCCGTGGCCATGCCTGTGCCCCAGCTATCTGGGTAGGCTGCAGGCGCGGCAGGATCCGCTTGAGCGCCAGGAGTTTGGCAGGTTGCTGTGAGTGAGGCTCAATGCCACTGCACTCCTAGCGCCTGGGCAACAGAGTCGACGGCGCTCCCGATCTGGGCGCCCCACGGCCGTCTACTTCCCTCGGGCCGAGTCCCCGCGGGGCCACACTCACCGCTGGCCTTGGCGGCCTGCACGCACAACTCCTCAGCCGAGTGGTCCCCAAAGGAGAAGGACAGGCGCTGGGGTGGCCCCGGGCCCCGGGCGGGCAGCAGCACGTGCAGCGCGCCGGCCTCCGAGGACGAGAGGCTGCAGGAGCGCTGGGGAATCAGCGGCGTCTCCTCGCTCGGGGGCGCCATGAGTGCAACCTGCCTGGGGCGCGCAGAGAGGCAGCGCCTGAGCCCCGGCCGGCCCGGGGGACGAGGCTTGTGGCCGGGGCAGGGGACTGCTGGAGGAGGAGGAGGGGACGGTGGGAACAGAGACGCCCAGAGAAAGTCAGACATGAAGTCGGGCAGGACAAGTACAGTAGGGTGTCGGCTCACGCCCAGTCCAGGTGCCCGGTGGCTCCAGCCCGCGCCCAGCCACCGGCCCACCCCCTTGCACGCTCCACGTCGCTCCAGATCTATCTTTTTTTCTCTCTCTCTCTTCTTGCTCTTTTCTCACTCCTTCTATCTTCTTTTCTTCTCTTTCTCTCTTCTTTCTTTTTTCTTTTTCTTTTCTTTTTCCTTCCTCTTTCCTCTTTTTCTTATTCTTTTCTTTCTTTCTCTCTTTCTTCTCTCTTTCTTTCACTCTTCCTTCCTTCTTTCTCATCTCGTTTCTTTTCTTTCTTCCTAATCTTTCTTTCTCTTTCTTTCTTACCTTTTTTTCTTTCTTTCTTTCTTATCTATTCTTCTCTTTCTTATCTTTCTTCTCTTTCTTTCTTCTTCTCTTTCCTCTCCTCTCACCTCTCTCCTCTTTCACTCATCATCTTCTCATCCACTCTTCTCTTTCCTTTCTTTGACAGAGATCTCACTCTGTTGCCCCAGGCCTAGAGCTGCAGTGGCATTAAGAGCCTCAGCTCCCACGCGCACACCTCCACTCCATGCGTCCAAACGCGATCCTCCTGCCCTCAAGCCTCCCCAGATAGCTGGGACCAACAGGCATAGCGGCCACCAACGCCGCTCATTTTTTCCTACATACTTTTCAGTTGTCCAGCTAATTTCTTTCCTATTTTTTATAACAGAGACGGAGGTCTCCGATCCTTGCTCACACAGGCTCCTGGCTCTCCCAACTAACTGATCAGAGCTGATCTCCACGCCCTGGCTCCAGAGCGCTGGGATGACAGGCGCCGGCCGACCCGTGCCCCAGGCTCCTTTCTCTTCATGTCTGACTCTCTTCCTGCGGCGTCCTCTGTTCCCACCGTCCTCTCGCTCTCCACGCAGCTCCCTGCCCCGCCAACAAGGCCTCGTCCCCACGGCGGCCGGAGGCTCGGCGTGCCATCTCTGCACGCCACAGCACAGGTTTCACTCATAGGCCGACCCCAGCGAGGAGACCGCCGCTGATTCCCGCAGCGCCTCCTGCAGCCTCTCTCTCGACGCTGGTGCGCTGCACGTGCTGCTAGCCCCCGGGAGGCCCGGGGCCCCGCCCCGCGCGCTGTCCTTCATCCTTCGGGGCCACATCGGCTAGGAGCTGTGCGCTGCAAGGCCGCCAAGGACCAGCCGGTCGAGTGTGGCCCCGTGGGACCAAAACTCGGCCCGACGGGACAGTAAGGCGGCGTAGGCCGCCCCAGAATCAGGAGCTGCAAGCCCTGGCCTGCAGGAGATCGCACTCGCGGGGCCCGGGGCTCTTGGGGGCAGATGAGTAGGAGCTTCGCTGGCTGGAGAAGGGCCGCACAGGGTGGGCCACCTGAGGCAGAACCGGGGCAGCCTGTGCAGAGACCCTCGAAGGTGTGCGTCGGCACCTGGCCCCAGAATGGCTGGTCCCTTTTTGTTTTTTTTTTTGAGACACCGAGTCTCCGCGCCCTCTGTTTGCAGGCTACGAGTGCGAGTGCCGTGGCGTCAGCCCTCCGCTCACAGCACACCTCCAAGACCCTGGGCCTCCAAGCGACCTCCTCCTGCCGCAGCCCATCCCCGACGTAGCTGGGACCCTAACGCGCCATCGCGCCTCCATCACCTGGCTAATTTTCTTTCTGTAATATTTTTTTTAAAAGTTGGCCAATTAATTTATTTCTATCTTATAGTAGAAAGGGGTCTCGCT